AATCATCAACATAACCGTTGTAGCATGCAGCCCGATCCCATAACTGTCACTCACAATCAGGCTCTCGGCCTTACTCAGTCATCACTCTCTAGTCTCGCCCACAAGGGCTCACAATGTCATGATACTAGCCCGAACAATGATATGATGTGCCAAATAACAAAAATCGAGACCGAGGCATGGTATAAAATGTATGAACAGGACTGAGTACAAAATATCAATGAAACTAATGATATTACAGCAAGAAACAACCTCTCGGGTCTCAACAGTATCGGCATGAAGCTTTAATATGACAATTAGCATGATTTACAACTCATTAACTTAATCACATAATCACAACATAGATATTAGCAAGAAAGATTCATTAAGCGGTGCCATGGAATGATCAAGGCCGCGATTCTCACGGTGCACGCCCACACGCCTATCACTTGGCATTTGCGTCAACTCAATAGTAATCATGGAACACATAGTTTGGGGTTTCGAACCCTCAGAACTAAGTTTGGAAGCGTTACTTACCTCAAATTAAGCCAAACTTTATCCCGCGACGCCCTTGCCTCTCGATTCGGCCTCTAAATGACCCAAATCTAACTAAAACCAATATATTATCATTAATACATGCTAAAGAAACAAAGACCAAGCAAAAGTAATTAAATTACCTCAAAAATCCTAAAACTGGCCAAACCCGACCCCCGGGCCCACGTCTCAGAATCCGTAAAATCATAAAACTAGAAAGTCATTCACTTATGAGTCTACCCATATCAAATTCACCAAAATCCGACATCAAATGGTCCTCCAAATCCCTAAAATTCACTCTCCAAACTTTCTTCCATCTTTTCCCAATTTTCACCCTAAATTCCCAAATTAAATGATAAAAATCAAGACATAATCATGGAATTTAACCCAAACAAAGTGAAGAACACTTACTCCATTCACTCCTATGAAAATCCCCTCTAAATTTGCTTTCTCCTGAGCTCTCTAATGAGTTTTTGAAAATATGAACTAAACCCTCATTTTTGAATTTAAAGATTCTGCCTAGACACTTCCTTCTTCGCGAACGCGAACGCCCTCTCGCGTTCGCGTAAGCCAACTCAGACTGCCTCTTCGCTTTGCTCTTCGCGAACGTGACCACTGCTTCGTGAACATGATGCTTAACCAACTCATACCTTCACGAACGCGACCCTCACCTCGCGAACACGTAGACCAAGGACCTAGGGTCCCCAACTGACTCACTCCTCTTCGCGAACGCGACTCCACTCCCGCGTCCGCGATGCACCATGATATTTTTGGTGGCTCCCATTTTACCCAGATATTTTTTTGTTTTTGGGTTCTTTATCCAACATGATTGTAACATATTCAGTGACCTTAGCTATAATACATTTTGAATTTGCCTTTTCTTTTTTATTATTGAAGAGATTATTGTTCCAAATCTATGAAAAATTGTGGGTCATGATTTCCTGTCTTTGATGTTGGCAAAAATCCAAGAGTGAGTAGGTAGATTTTGTGGAATAGATTCCATTTGATGTGGCTCCCCCCAGATCATTCTATCTTCCTTAATTGGGTTGGATGGAATGAAAGTGTTATAGATGGAATTTTGGATATTTTGGGGGATGGTGAGAGATAGAGTAGAGAGATCCCAAGTTCCATAATGATGAGCAGAGATAACTATTTTGGTCATGTCTTCTCTTGTCAGGGAACCTTGTATAAGGGACCTTATAGCTGGGAGGTTGTTTATCCAAGGATCATTGAAAAAACTAACTCTGTTTCCTGAATGCACTACCCATCTTTTTGCTTTCATGCATGTTTCCCATCCTTTTAGGATGCATTTCCAGGTGTGAGACTTGGCTTTTTTTTGGAGGGATCCGCCAATTGCAGTGTTTTGCAATAAGAGTTTTTGCCTATAGGGTTGAGGGATTTTGGTATAGCCTCCAGGCAAGACCTGAGTGTTGGGCTTTGTTTTTCAATTCAGCTTTCTAGATTCCCTGCCCCCTTATCCTTAGGCATAGTGACTGTATCCTATGAGACCAGGTGCATCTTTCTTTTGGTGGCAGTAGTGCCCCAGATAAAATTCCTCTGAACTTTGTCAATTTCTTTGGTCCTTTTTGCTGGCAATTTGATGTATTGCATTACATGATTTGGGATTGAGTTCAGAGATGCTTTTGCCAATGCGATTCTCCTAGTCATGTTAAGCATGCTTGTTTTTCACCCAGCCATTTTTGAGGGGAGATTGTCAATAATGATTTGAAAATCACTATGAGTGGGTCTTTTGTGGAAGATTGGGAACCCCAGGTATTTTCTAAAGTTTGTTGAAGCTTTTATGGAAAGGGTGTTTGAGATGAGCTCCATTTGTTGAGGTTGGCAGTTTGCACTGAAATAGACTTTTGACTTAGTAAGGTTGATCTTTTGCCCAGATGCCAAGTTGAAAGAATTGAATCTATTCATGATTGTGTTGCAACTTACTTGGTTAGCTGTTGCAAAAAGAGTTAGATCATCAGCAAAGAATAGGTAATATATCTTAGTGCCACTTCTGCTAATGCTGATAGGGTGCCACTCACCCTGGAGGACATTATTGTCAATGTCTCTGGAAAGTCTTTCCATACACATGATAAACAGGTAAAGGGATAGAGGATCACCCTGTCTGATGCCCCTAGTGGGCATGAAGGGATTAGTTTGCTCTCCATTAACAATTACAGAGATGGTGGAGGAGCTGATACATGACATGTTGAGGTTGATAATTGTGTTTGTAAATTTGAAAGCATGGAGGGTTTGCTTAATGAAAGACCACTCTAGTCTGTCAAAAAGCCTTCTCCAGGTCAATCTTTAGGATTATGTTAGAGGATTTTCCTCTCATTTTTCCAAAGTGAGAGATGTATTCTTGGACTATAATGGCATTGTCTGAAGCCTTCTTGTTGGAGAGGAAGCTAGCCTGACTAGGCCCAATGATGTGAGGGAGGTAAGGCTTAATTCTATTGACAATGATTTTTGTTACTGTCTTATAAACAGTATTACATAAGCCTATGGGTCTGAATTTTTTGATCATTGTGGCTTGAGGGCATTTTGGAATGAGGCACAAGAGGGTGTCATTCATGACTGGGTTCATAGTTGATGTGGAGAAACATTTCTTGCAGAATTGGATGACATCCTTACCCACTATGTCCCAGTATTTTTGATAGAAGAAAGGGTGAAGGCCATCAGGTCCAGGAGTTTTGAAAGGCTTGAAGGAGAATATGACACTTTTAATTTCACTATCCCTCAGGGCCATCCCAATTGTTGTTTGCTGAATCTGGGAGAGGCAATGCCCCTGGATTTCAGTGGAGGACAAGCCATTCTGGGATTGGGGGAGGGATGATGTATAAAATTCTTGGAAGAACTTTGAGATTGCTTGCTTGATTTCCCCAGCCTCAAACATCCACTGACCTGAGTTATCTTTGAGGGTTTTATTCCTCCTCCTTCTATTTAGAGTAGAAGTGTGAAAGAATTTTGTATTGGCATCTCTATCCGAGAGCCATTGAATTCTAGACTTTATTTTACAAAAGTCCTCTTCATTTTTCAAGATAGAGCTAAGCTCTTCAATGAGGTTGCTTTTAAAAACTTGCATTAAGGTGCTATTGGGATAAAAAAGTAATTTTTGGATCCCTTCTATCCTTGCTAGCAACCTCTTTTTTTGTGGAAGATGTTTCTAAAGGTATGCTTATTCCATTTGAGAGCATTAACATTGAACACGATGGTGGAAGGGATTAGTATAGAATCAGGCTTGAAAGAATCCCTAATTAAGTTTTGAAACAGAGGGTGGCTGCACCACATTGATTCAAAGCTAAAAGGTTTATTGAGAGGAGTATGATTGTTATTGCTTAGCTTGAAAAGCATGGGGCAGAGGTCAGAATGGGTCTTGGGAAGGTGAGTAATGTTAGCTTCTGGGTGCTCATTTATCCATTGGTTATTAGCAAGACACCTGTCAATTCTTTCTAGTATTAGATATGACCTATTTTTGTACCTCTTGTTAGACCAAGTATACTTGCTACCTTTAAATCCTATGTCTACAAGGTGACAATTGTTAATATAATTCCAAAAGGAGTTACTCCTATGGGTGTTTATAGCGTTTCCCCCAAATTTGTCTCTTGCTTTCAGGACTTCATTGAAGTCTCCACCCACAAACCAACTCCCTCTGTGATTATTGGAGATATAAACTAAACTATCCTAGAGGGCCTTTCTATCCTCAATGTGGTTGCTAGCATAGATTGCAAAAAAAACCAATGGGGGTTTAAGGGTAATACCTTGACCATGGCATGGATACCTTGAGAGTTTACAGCTACTTCATCAACTTGGAGGGAAGAATCCCTCCACATACAGTAGGGAACTGCATGTGCATGTCGAATTGAAACTCTTCAGTTAGCTTTTTGTGGTTTGCCATTTTGGTCTCCAGGAGAACCAACATCACAGGCTTGTGCATTTTGAACATTTCTGAGCAATGACTCTTAAACTCCGCACTATTTGCCCCTCTAACATTCCATATTGTGAAATTTATTAGAGGGTGAAGTGATGGAGGGATGTTGCTCGTAAATGCCTTGTCCCTACCCTAGGGGTGCATCACTTCTCTTCTCCTGTGTTGATATTTTTGGGATCTTATCACTAGGGTTAGGGTCAGAAGAGGTTTGAGTGTACCTTGATTCAGATGAGAGGAGAAGTCAGTTCCGCAACGAACTAGGTTCTTTGGGAAAAATAGGATCAACGTCTCGCTGTGTTCCACACTGAACTCCATAGCTCTTAATGCTTCCAACCATAGTGAGTCCATCCTCACTAGGTTGTCGATTAGGGTTGTTTCCTGGTCCATTGGCACCTCGTGGTTCCTCAGTAGCTCTAGGGCTATTGAAATTCCTTTGGAGATGTTCCCCAGAGGCGATTGATGTTGTTTCTCTTAGGGTGGTTGCTGATGTTTCTCCTACACTGAAGGTGAAGTTTTCTGGGATGATTCCGGTTGGAGGATTTTGAACTGGGGGGGNGGATGCTGTTGAATATCTGCTGAATCCTGTCGTGGATAAATGAATCGCTGCTCTGGTGTATGTCGGTTGGGTGGGTCTGGTCCATGACTGACTGCCACATTTGTGCTCCAAGCATCCCCAAGCCCTTGTTTAGGGCTTCTGCAGTTACCCTTGCTAGATAAGCTAGGTTCTGTATGATTAGAGAGATCGGTTAATTGCCCAACTGAAAATTGTAGCTTAGGGCTTGTCCATGGAGTGCCAGTTCCAACCATGATGTTGGTAGGTGGTCCAGTAGTGGTAGGATGGAGGTTAGGAAGATTGGGGGGTTGGGATTTGGTTCCATTTTTGTTTTTTTTTCTATCCGTTTTTGGGTTAGTAATAAAAGGTAGGGTATTGGGGCAATCAAACGTTTTTGGTGGTTGTGGATTTGGATCGACAAACATGCTTATTATTTTGGGATTTGTGTCTGATACACTAGGAATGGGATTATTATAATATCCGATTGAATTGATGGGTTCTGTCAAATCACTTAGGATTTCTTGATTATACAACTTTGGCTCTTGAGCTTTCATTGAGGGATTTTTTCCAGTTGGTATTGGTAGGGGAAACGTAGTGTTGTAGTAGTCATCATTGGGGTCTATCATGGAGTCTATTTTTGCAGAGATGGGAGGTGGCCCAGTCTGGATTTTTTGGTTTTCATCTTGACCTTTGGGCTTGGTTGACTTTGGGTGTGAGGTAGTGTCCGTTTGGTTTGGGTTACTGAGTATGGGGTTTGTCCTGGCTTTTGTTTGTGTTGTGGGCCCATGTCCAAAATTTGTGTGCAGCTGTGCATTCCCTGGGTCCGCTTTTCTTTTAACGCTTGTGTTGGGCCTTTCTCTTGTGGGCTGCCCGACTGTAACTTATTTTTCAGATTGTTGTCTCTTTGTGGTAGTGGGTTGGGTTCGGTCCATATCCTGTAACAGGTTAGATTTAGTGGTGTATCGGAAAGTTTGAGTTTCAAGGAACTTACCGGATGTAGCATCGAACATTTTTACTTTGATGCCCTCTGGCTTTGTTGGTGGTTTGTCCTTTCTATTCTTGTGCGTTGCTTCATTTTGCTGTGTGTTGTGCTCTTTTTTACGCCTTCTGGAGAAAGAAATCACTTTCTATTCCTCTTCTTCCTCATTGTTTGGTGTTTGGGTTGAATCACCGTTTGGCTTTGAATTTGAGCTCTCTGGGCTGTCTTGCATATGTGTTTGTTGTTGTTTTTGCCTGTGTAAGCATCCTTTCAAGGTGTTCCCTATCCTTCCACACCCAGTGCATAGTACATTTTCTCCTTCATAGATCACCAACTGCTTATAATCCCCTATTGTAACTGAGGTAGCAACTGGTGTTTCCAAGGGTACCTGGATACATATTCTTGCGTATCTACCTCTGAGGGTGGCTGAAGTGCACGTATCAATTTTTAGGAGTTTTCCTAGTTTTCTGCCTACTTTTTCTAGGACCTCTTTGTCATAGAATTCAGTGGGTAGTTGTGGTAGTCTTTCCCAAATTGCAGTGAAGGATAATGTCGCTTCTTATGGGACGAATTTGGGTTCCCATCTTCTGACTAAGAGGAAACTTCCAGAGATGAACCATGGCCCTTTTTGTATATCTTTCACTAGATTCTCCTCTTTACCAAATTTGACTATGAAAAAATCCCATCCTAGGTCGATCAAGATCAACTGTTCGGATGGGTTCCATAAATCAACTAATTTAGATCGGAGGAGGTAGTGTGACATTCGCTTTCCAAAGAGCTTTATGATGACCGAGTAACGCCATGGTTCATATAACCTGTTTTTATCCTCTTGAGAATTAGGATTGGACCTACTGTTTCCTTTCCTTTTTGTTGCGTTATGGTGGATTGTAGTTCTGAAGCGAAGTAGTCAGCTTGTGTTGTATTTTGCTTATTTAGGAGCATTTTCTTGTAAGAGTGGGATTGGGTTGTTTCTTCTTCCATAACAGTGTCGTCCAGTGGTTCCGATGGTATGTTAGGTGATTTGAGTGGATTTTCCATTAGTTGTTTGTAGTGATGGATGAGAGTTTCTCTAACCTTTTAGAATTGGATCCTATAAATGTTCTATTTGTAAGTATGCTGTGTTCCTTTAATGATAGAGATACAACAAACGTTAATATCTCTGTAAAATCGAATATTCTGGGTCTAAAGTGAGTCCTTTTGTAAGCATAGAACTTATAGGTAAGTTTTCCAATTTAATATTCAAAATTCAATTATCCAATAAAAAGAGATAAAATAAAAAAATAAAATAAATACTTTGAGCTTCGAAAATCACCTTTGCCCGCTAATAAAGCGCGCTAGTAAAGTGTAGACATTATAGTACTTTACCAATATTAGACAGCTATAAGACCTATGCTCAAGTGCTTAAGTTCAATTTTCCAGGGGCAAAAGTGTCCGATAATGTTGCTCTATTTCTTTGTCTCAAAGATCCTTTCTTGAAATAGTTGAAACACCAAATTTGGTCTCTTTGCAGTTTTGCATAGCCACGTAGAATTCAATGCTATAAATATATAGCATAGAGCTTAAGCACACAAGAAAAGCAGAAAATAGGTTACGGATTTCAACCCCAAGATTGGACAATAAACCAATTCAATGTGAATGAATCTATTGGAGATTACACTTTAAAGAGGCTCTGCATGTCAGCAATTTTTTTCTTTTTAAATTTAGACCCAAATTTACTCCCAACACAAATCCCACCTGTCTCTCTCCTCTTATATAATCAGCATTTGCTGTGTCTGAGCTTGCATTTTGTTCTATTGAGTGTTTTTTTGGGCAATTGATATAAGTTTGTTGGGGGTTTTGAGAGTGAGAGTGAGAGTAAATGCTGCTGTGAAATGGCTGCTTCTGCTTCCTCTACTTTGGACTCTTCCCAAAAGGAAATTGAGGATGAGCTCAAAGATTGTGGGATTAGGCTTATTGTTCCTCCTCCTTCCACTGAAGAGCTCCTCAATCTACTCGATGTAAAGTTTCAATTTTTATCTATTTATTTCATGTTCTTCACATACAAATTACTAGCTTTATCTGTGTTTTATTTCCTCTTTTTTTTTTTTTTTTTTTTTTTTTTTTTTTTTTTTTATGTGTTATCAGTTTAGGTTTGTTTGATGTTGAAAACGATAAGACTTTTTGAGGGGAATGGCTGTTTGTCAATTAGATAAATTTGGGCTAGTTTTGACTTCAAATAGAAATCTTTTGTTCTTCCTATTATAAATGACATGGTGTTGAATCAGAATTGGAGGAATGGAAGTGGCAATTGCAGGTTTAATGTAATGATTTTGGAATTAGAATGAAAAGGACAATCCCATTATATAATAGATGAATGCCACCATAGAGCAATTTCTCCATATTCGTGTATTAATCTTTATGAACCGGCTTTATATCTTCTTGAAGTTGTTTGCTCGTATTTCTGTAATTTATGGCAGCCTCAAATTGACTACTTTTCTCCTCTTGTGTCTTTTAGAAAGTAGAATCTCTATTGGTAAAGGTAGGCCAAGCCCCTTCTGATTCAATGAAAGATGCACTTCGACCAGTAATGAGAGCTATGGTTGGAAGTGAACTTTTAAAGAATGCTGATGTGGACGTCAAATTCTCTGTTGTATCTTGTCTCTGTGAGCTTTCTAGAATAACTGCCCCTCAGCAACCTTATGATGATGGACTAATGAAGGTATCCAAGATATAACATTCTACTTTATTGTTCTCTTTTCCTAGTACACACACATATTATATATGTGTAGAAAGAACCACACTAACTAGTTTAGCTAATGTCATTTGCTCAAACTTTATATCCATTACCTTATTGTTTTCACACTCTTGTATTGAAAACTCTCAGGAAATTTTCCAACTTATAGTAAGGGCATTTGAAGAATTATCTCATTCAGCCCGCCATTATTATAAGGCTGTGCATATCCTTGAAACTGTGGCGGATGTCAAGGCCTGTTTAATGCTGCTGGACCTTGAATGTGATGCTTTAGTTATTGAGATATTCCAGCTGTTTCTCAGAATCATCAGGTAACTTAGCAAATTTTCCTTTTGGTGAAAAGTTTCTCAACCTTTTTCTCTTTTTTGACTGTTACATAGAGTTGTGATTTAATTCCTTCAAGCAATTAATTTAACCTCCTTCAGATTAAATCAGTATGGAACTTTTAGGATTTTACACTGGGAATGTAGGTAAAGTGAGATTAGATAGAACTATGAAAAATGACTCTAGAGAGTACGGATTTGGGATAAGCAAAAGTAAGATAAAATATTGCACTGCAAATTTAGCCTCCAAAGGAAGAATGAAGGTGAATGAGATTAGACACGATTGTATTGTCTACATACACACATTTTCTAATATCTTGGCTCAGTCTTCTGCAAGAATGGTATGATAGATGGAGATCTAGCACATATAAATTATATAGGAAGAATAAAATGGAGGAGTATTATGAGAGTGCATAATGAAGGAGTTTTTGGAATGCTATGTGATAACCTAACAATGTGATAGGAGAGTTTTATCGAACGGTTGTAAAACCAGCAAATTACATGAGATAGGACTCTATAGTCCAACATTGTCAAGATAGATTGTTGTGTACATTCAGATATTAAGACTAATGTGGATCATCCAAGATTTGTATAATTAGAAATGATAACAATATGATAGAGGGTGTAAGTAGCACACACTGAAGATAAATTAGAGAACATTGCCTGAGATGATTTGGCATATCCTACACATACCTCCAAATGTTGATGGTTAGCAGGTTAGAAACAGGGACGAGATAGATTTACACTTAAACGGAGGAAAGTTGGCTAAAAGGATCTACATTTTCTCTAAATCAATGTAGACTTAGCTAAGAATGGAACACTATGGAATCAAAGGATCCATATAAGTGATCAACCAGTTGGGATTAAGGCTTAGTTATTTCCGTTACGCTTACATTTGGTTAGTGTTCGCCAAGAGTGTTTTTGCTCTGGTTACAAATTTGTTTATTTGTGTAGGGATATGTGAGATGTTGAGAATATCTTCTATTAGAGAAACATCAATTGCCTTAAAAAACTAATTATCTGGTAGTGGAATGAAATAACCTCTTGCAGAAATGCAGGGCAAAGCTGCATACAATAGACCGTTATGGTCCGACACTTCCCCGGAGCCCGCGCATAGTGGGAGCTTAGGTGCACCGGGCTGCCCTTTTTTTTGGAATGAAATAACCTGAATAGAGTGGAACAGATTACAGTGGATTAAATAGTGGACCCCAGCTAATTCAGGATTGAGGTGCAGATGATTAATTAATATTGCGGTGGGACGCTAAGTGTTGGCTGCTTGCCTGTCAAGAACGAGCAGCAGGCTCGTCGATGTAATTCAAGTAGTTATCGTTTATCTTATTTATTTATGCACCAATACAATTAGCATTTGATGTTCGTTTCGGTATTGACTAGCTTAAAGGTGGTGGACCACATAAATTGCACTTTAAACTGTCCGCTAGCTATCGTGATACTTAAGTTCTTATTCACCTTCCGAGCACATTTAAGCATGTTGGTGATTGTTTGACTTTGACATCATGCTCCATGCCATTTTACCCCGGTGAAAGATTATAAGGTTATCTTGTGTAAGTTTTCTCTGATGAATGCTTATGTTTGATGCTGTGATTTTCTCAAGGCCCGACCATCCTAATGTTGTATTCACAAGCATGGAAGAAATCATGACTCTGCTCATAGAAGAAAGTGATGAAATCTCAATGGAGCTTCTTCAGCCTCTCCTTGATAGCGTCAGAAAGGAAAATCAGGCAATAAACCTCATCCTAGTAATTTTGTTAATCATGTTTCTTTAGTGTTTTTCTTGATCTTATATACTGTACAGATTTGTTCACCTATCTCGTCAAAATTGGGAGAGAAAGTCCTGAAAGAATGTGCTTCCACTGTTAGACCCTATCTTGTAGAAGCCCTCAAGTCAAGAAGCATGAATCTTGATGATTATGGTGACATAGTTGCCTCAATATGCAATGAAATGCCTGAGGGAGAACAAATGGTGCGTCCTATTCATGACTATTTTTTTTCTGAGAATGTGTTCATGACTCTCTCTTTTATGCAACTGCTTTTTGCCTTTTCATGTACTACGAGAAAATGACCTCACACGAAGCAATATTTGTCTAAAACAGTACGAGAATGTCAATGAGACTAAGCCCAATGCTTCTATAGTGCTTGATATGTATTTACTACTTTTAATTATGAAAATATGCTATTGAATTACTACTGATTAAAAAACGCTCCTTATAAGTAAAAAAAAGAAGCAGCTATTGGATTACTTTTCCTTTTTGCTTATATTAATTTTATGATCAGACGGAAAATGAAAATGTGACTGATGCTGTGTATCCTGTAAAAGTTGGTCCATCTGGTGCTGTTATTTGAGACTCCTTTAAATATTAATGGCACCTCTTCAAAAACATTACAGCTTCACAGTCAGACAGAGCAGCTAAAGAATATTGGCATTAGCAATGCTAGTCATGGTTGCCGGGTTAGGGCTAAGAAGAAACAGAATGCCAAATAAGGAGGCTGACCTGGGTATGTTGGTTCCAGAAAGAGATGTGTTGCAATCTCAAGATAAGAGAAATGGCTCGCTGCATTCAGTTCTCAACTTTGGGAGTGAACATAAGGGCACAGCATGTAGCAAAAGAAAACCACGTCAGAGCTCAAAGAAGAGCGAGTCTGTTCCAAAAGGTGATGTCGAGACCACTTCTGGCCTTAACATTGTAAGAGAAGGAGACCTTACTGATGCTGAGGAGCCATCAGTGCAACAAGTTGATGAAAAGAAACAGAAGAATGACAGAGCTACCATTGAAACTCATGATGTAGAAGAAACAGGAGATGAGGTTAAAAGGAAAACTTCTAAGAAGTTGTTATCGCTAGATCTGTGCTTATAGTTTATTTCAAGCACAAATGTGACGACCACTTTCTTTTTCTTTTTCTTTTTCTTTTTCTTTTTTTTTTCCTTTTTTCCTTTTTCCATTCACACTTGTGGGTTTTACAGGCGATTAAACTATCATTTGGGGATGAAAATCTGTCAAGCAAACTTGGCAAAGCTAAGCGCCAGAAGAAGCTTGCCATTGTAAAGGATGAGGTACTAATATACTCCTACCATTTTTTGAAGCAAACTGTAACCCTTGTTTATGTAACATCCATATCTGCAAAATTTGCAGATTTTGCTTGTATTTACGTAGTATTGTTGAAATGTAGCGGCTTGTTGCTAAATTTTATGACTTCTTAGCTTTGTCAAAAGAATCCAATCACAGTAAAAATAGGTTATAAGCTGCTATACCCTCCTTGAATTCGGAGCGAATACTGTTCTTACCGCTTTTCAATAGATTTTAAAGGAGTGAAAACTATTTTTTGGTTTAGGGCCCTACTGCTTTCACTTTATCTGTTGTTCTAGAATGTTTTCATGTCTGAAGAGCTTATGTTCGAATTGTTTCATTCAGAATTCTAGAAGGCGTCACATCACCAAAAATTATGGAGAAGAAATGGTTGGTACCAGAATAAGAGTTTGGTGGCCATTGGACAAAGTGTAAGTTCTACAAAATGTTGTGTCAGGACTGTCACGCTATTGTGAATTAGTGGTAGTAGTTACAGCTCCACTCTCATTCCAGCACTTTTAATCAACTTGATTGCCTTCTGTTGTTAAGTTTATTGTCTATAAAATTGACCTACCTGCTAGGCTGTCAGGCAAGAATTTGTTTCATTCCCTTAGGGGGTGTTCATAGAATTACACACATGGTTCTTTTTATTTGTATTTTTTTATATTGGTTTTCTCTAGTTTTTACTACTCGATGCTTTAAGCAGACCTTATACTTGCAGACAATTCCTGTGGAGATAGATTGTATTGATCAGCAGCCGATGGATTCCTGAGTTTCGAAATTAGCTTGTTAAGCTAATAAACTGTTGTTGTCTTCTTCTTCTTGTTCTTTTTCTTTCTTTTTTCTTTGATGTCCTTTTGGTAGGCTAAGGTAAAAATTGGATATATGTTTATATCCACCATATATGAGCTTCTTTTCTTTTAATTCTTTTTCTTTCTCATTCTTCAATTTAAACTATCAGCGATCTCAATCATCACCATCGTCCATATCATGTGACTGATGATAGTATTAAACCTTTGTAGATTCTTCTGCCTCTACCAGTGAACTGACTCGTATTTCTGTCAAACTTTTCAGCTTCTTTCTATAATAGATTCTGAATTAATACTTTCCAAATGCTCATCCACTCACAATTCCAGCAATGCCAACTCACCTTCAGAACTATCAACTAACAAAGCTCTATATCAACCCATTGCCAGATCTTGTCTTACTGCTACATCATTCTTCAATTTTATCATCTCTATGGTTTCAGTTGCTTGAAAAGTTGGAGTCAGTGGCAAATTGTCTAGGCAATATTCTTTCAAAAGAAATATGTGTAGTCTTACATGTAGATCATTTCTTGATGTGCTTGGTAGCATGAAATGCTGTGGCTCACTTGCTTACTAGCAATAGTTACTGGTTGTTTCTGGTGTATGGGTTACGAATTTTTGAGTGTGTCTCATCTATTGATTGATGTAGCTTGGATTGATATCAATTATTGTGAATATAATTACCAGATAGACAATGAATCTAGATGGGCAAAGAGAAATACTCCCCTTGGCCACCTAAAAGAAAAACTATTCCAAGATTTATCTGCAAAGTAATAGGTTTTGATTACTGAGTTGAAAAAAAAACAGACAGTTGACGAATTGCTAGGACCAATGCTCTAAAAAGGGGATGTTGGTTATTTAGAAAAAAAAAAACAGAAGAGAATGCAGCCATGGGAGTACTGAAGGAGGTTGATGCCTCAGAAGGTCTTTAAGAACATGAAATTTTACAACCGGACATCGGAATCACGTCAAATCAACTCCGTTTTGCACCAAATTTTGCAGACAAGTCATAAATACTGAAATGAACCTATACAAAGTTCCGAATTCGAAATACGAACCCGATAGCAACAAAGTCAACCTACGATCAAACATAGGAATTCTTTAAACCTTTAAATTGTTAGTTTTCAACAAATTACGTTAAATCAAGTTAGGGACTTTTGAATTCGATTTCGGGTATATGCCCAAGTTCCAAATCACGATACGGACCCACCAGGACCGTCAAAATGTTAATCCCGATCCGTTTACACAAAACGTTGATCGTAGTCACCTTAAATGAGTTTTAAGGCAAATTTTCATATTTTCTTTAGTTGTTCACATAAAAAAATTTCGGAAAAAGACATGGACTACACACACAAATAGAGAAAATCTAAACGGAGCTATTCGAGGTCTTAGAACACATAAATAAAGGGTAAAACTATAAATGACCTATCAGGTCATCACAATACCATACTTCCCTAATTCCCCTTGAAATTCTTTTGCTTGTTCTGTTTCTCCTAGAATAATGTTTCAATTAGTTTTTCAGTTAGTACAATAATAATTATATTAATTACTTCTTTACTTTGATAGGAATATATAATATTATCAAGTTAAATATTCAATCAACAGACCACAAGAGGGAATTATATATGTCCCAAATAACAATTATGGAAAATTTTGTTAACAAACCTCTCAATGTCAATCAATGTAGAGAAATTAAAGCCAGCTAGGTAACAACTACTAGCTAGAGTTTTATATATTATTTTATAAAAGAACATATGGATCATATTTCATATATAATTGTAAATGACTTAATTATTATATGGAAAATAAACATCGGAGAAACCATTCCGTCCTCAATAAACATTTGGAGTAGATGTGATATAGTAGACATAGTTGTATTGGTCCAAATTTGGCAACCACAACAACGGATAAGCGAGGCTTGGGACGAATTCATTACAATGCAATGACTGACGGTCGTTGTGGCAAAGGATAACGACCAGAGGCGAGCAGTTGAAATGAAGAAGTGTCGGTAGTCTAAACTTAGAAAGAGATAGGAAGAATATACCTTTGGAATATTCTTTGTGCCGTACTTTTTAGGGTTTTTTGGGGAATATCCCTTATAAATAGGAGGAGATAGTAAACAAGAGGGGGATCTGCCCTTTTCGAGAACGGAGAGATATTGTAAGATTGAGAAAAGAATATACGAGAAAGTTGTCTTATACATCCATACATATGTTGTTCATTATCAGTCAATAAATCTCAAGATCCTACATAGATATTGACTGCTTTCCTTTCCAGGTCGTTAGAGGAAGGAAACACCCAATCATATAATCATTGGGTGACTATTCTGTTATACTACAATCTTTGTTATTTCTTACATTTGTTACACTTTTATGATATTGCATGTCACGACCCCGGTTCGCCCTCCATGAACCATCATGACGGCACCTAGTCTCTATGAATAGGTAATAAAATAGTGTTTAAAATGCCGCTCGGCATACACAATAACAACTCTCAAAACTAATACCATTTCCCAAAACCCGGAATCTCATGATCACAAGCCTTTGAATGTCTAAAAGCACCTAATTCCAGAATATCTAACAAAGAAACGAAAGTACAGAAGGGCTAATACAAGAAAGGGAGAGTAGAAAGGGACTCTTCGGTCTGCAGATGCGGCAGATATACCTCGGAGTCTCTACAAGCGCCCCGTCTCAAGCGTGATAAGTCAGAGTGGAAGTATCTGGATCTACACATGAAAAACATGCGCAGAAAGGGCATGAGTACACCACAACGGTACTCAGTAAGTGCCAAGCCTAACCTCGGTCGGGTAGTACGAGGAAGGTTAGGGCCCTACTGAGGTTAAATAAAATATAAGGTTCAACAGTGTAGTACAAAACAGTATAAGTAAGTACAATAGTAAAAATAACACAGAATATAAAGGACAACAACAACTACTACAGAGGCAGAGTAAACATAGAAAGAGATACAGCTCAGCACAAAGACAACAACCGGGGATCTCCCAGGATACCGTCCTGTAGTCCCAAATATAAATATCCTGTGGATCTCCCGGGATACCGTCCCGTAGTCCAACTCATAATGCGAGGGGATCTACCGAAATACCGATCCGTAGTCCCAAATGTAAATACTCAGTACAGGGGGAATCTATCGGGTGCAATCCCGTAGTTCCAATGTAAATGTGCAGGGAGATCTCCCGAAATATCATTTCGTAGTCCCAAAGTAAACATACAGGGGGATCTCCCGGGATACCGTCCCGTAGTCCCAAGGTAAACACACAACAACAAGAAGAAGGGTACACAGTTCAATTCAAGTTTCATACCAAGGTAAAACAGGTATTTCTAACCTAGCAAGTTGTACGTAATCCAAATAAGGCAGTTTGAGCAAGTAAGGCAATTAAGTTAATTAGACATGTTTTCCTAAGCTAACAACATGCTTAAATTGCAAGTAGTATAAATATGAAAAAGAAACATACTAGTAATTACTTAATGAAAACCGGATTTTCAACAATTAGCACAAGTACGCACTCCTCATCTCACGTACAAGACATTTCAATTATCAATAATACCAAATCCTAAGGGGAGTTTCCCCCACACAAGGTTAGGCAAGCCACTTACCTCGAACCGGCTCAAAATCAACCCAAAATCACATTCTTGCCACGATTATTCGACTCCAAATGGCCCAAATCTATTCAATTCAATTGCATAATGTAAATAACACTTTAAGTAACTGATTCTACAAATAAATTCTAATCTAATACGCAAAATTAGGTAAAATGACCAAAACACCCCTCGAAATCAGGTAAAATTTACATTTTCAGAATCCTCACACTCTCACGAGTTCAGTTATACCAAAGGTACCAAAATCGGACCAAGGTCCCTCAAATCATCACTCAAAGGTCTCTAATTAATCAAGCCCTAACCCTCAATTTGCCACTAATTTTCGTTAAATTTTCATGCTTACAATGATAAAAATCATCTCAATAACGAGCTTAAGGACCAAAGACCTTACCCCAATGAATTCCTCTAAATATCTCCCTTGAAAATGCTCCCCAAAGCTTCTTCCCGTTTGAAAATGAAAAATAACTCAAATTTGCGAAGGCAACTATTTATATGTTCTTCTCAGCGAATCCGCTTTTGCGGTGATGGGACCGCACTTGCGGTCCCGCTTTTGCGGAACAAAAGTCACATCTGCGACAATTCACTAAAGTCCAGCTTCCGCACCTGCGGTTTCCCATATGCAGATGCGGTACCGCTTCTATAGTGAAGCTCCCGCTTCTGTAGCTCCTGCTGGCTCTCCCCTTTCCGCTTCTGCGATGATAACACCGCTTCTGCGGCTATGCACTTGCGGGACCCAACCGCAGGTGCAGTTATGACAGAAGATCAGCAGTTGAAGCTGCTCAAACAAACTCCCAATTCTTCCGACAACCTTTCGAAACCATCCCGAGGCCCCCGGGACCTCAACCAAAAGCATAACCAAGAAATATACCACTATCCAAACTTATGTCAATTCTTAAAACACCTAAAACAACATCGAAACATCAAATCAACCACGAATTCAAGCCTAAGACCTCCGAAAACTCTCAATTTACGCTTTCGATCAAAAAGTCTATCAAACCTCGTCCGAATGACCTGAAATTTCACACACACGTCACATTCAACACTACGGAGCTACTCCAACTTTTGGAATCTCATTCTGACCCTTAGATCAAAATCTCATTATCGAACCAGAAACTTCCAAAAACTCAACTTTCGGCATTTCAAGCCTAAATTAGCTACGGACCTCCAAAACATAATTCGATCACGCCCCTAAGCCCGAAATCATCCAACGTAGCTAACAGAACCAACAAAATTCCATTCTGAGGCCGTCTTCACACTGTTCCGACTACAACCCAAATTATACAACTTAAACTCTCATTTAAGGACTAAGTGTCCCAAAACTATCTGAAACTCCAATTAAATCCTCCCGGTAACTCACAATAGCTGAAAAAAACACGGGGAATGCAGTTAATAGGGGATCGGGGCGTAAATTCTTAAAACGACCGGCCGGGTCGTTACATCCTCCCACACTTAAACATTCGTTCATCCTCGAACGAGCATATAGACATACCTGAAGTAGTGAAAAGATGAGGGTAACGGCTTCACATATCCTGCTTGGTCTCCTAGGTCGCCTCCTCGACCGGCTGACCCTGCCACTGAACCTTCACTGATGCAATGTTCTTTGATCTCAGCTTTCGAACCAGTCTGTCCAATATTGCCACTGGCTCCTCAACAAAAGATTGATCCTTGTCCAACTGAACTGAACTGAAATCCAACACGTGCGACGGATCACCGTGATACCTCCGGAGCATTGAAACATGAAATACCAGATGAACTCCTGCCAAGCTAGGAGGTAAGGCAAGCTCATAAGCAACATCCCCAACACACCTTAATTTCTCAAAAGGGCTAATAAACCTCGGACTCAATTTCCCCTTCTTCCCAAATCTCATAACGCCATTCATAGGCGAAACCCGAAGTAAAACCCGCTCTCCAACCATATAGGAAACATCACGAACCTTCCGGTCCGCGCAACTCTTCTGTCTGGACTGGGCTGTGCGGAGTCTATCCTGAATCACCTTAACCTTCTCCATAGCATCCTGAAAAAAGTCTGTGCCCAATAATCTAGCCTCACCCGGCTCAAACCAACCCACTAGGGATCTACACTGCCTACCATATAAAGCCTCATACGGTGCCATCTGAATGCTGGACTGATATCTGTTGTTGTAGGCAAACTCCGCCAATGGAAAGAATTGATCCCAAGACCCTCCAAACTCAATCCCACACGCACGGAGCATGTCCTCAAGAATTTGAATAGTGCACTGGACTGTCCGTCTGTCCGAGGGTGAAATGCTGAACTCAACTCTACCCAAGTACCCAACTCATGCTGAACGGCCTTCCAGAACCGTGATGTGAATTGAGTACCCCTATCTGAAATGATGAAAACTAGGATACCATGCAAACGAACAATCTCCCAAATATAAATCTCCACCAACCGCTCTGAAGAATAAGTAGTACACACAGGAATGAAGTGCGCGGACTTGGTCAGCCGATCTATAATCACCCAAATAGCATTGAACTTTCTCAAAGTCCGTGG